GAAATTTATAACATATCTTTGATGTATAATTGGTCCAGCTATGTGGGTGCACTTGCTTCACACCAGTTCCTTTTAACAGTGATGTGAACTTTCACATGCCCAATTATGTTCAATAGCATACACCATACTAAATGTTACATTCAAAAGTCATCTTGAGGAGTCCCAGTTATTTTACAATAAATTGTGGGGAGATTGATTCTTTCTATTCGGTCAAATTCAGCACAAACATTACGAGCAGATACCGGCACTTAACAACAGATGGCGACAGACCCCACATCACAACGAGAAAACCGAATCACCGCTACCCTAATGAAATTACACCAGACAGGGGAAATGAACAAAACAGACCACCAGAGGATGAGAGATAACAAGGTGCAGGGCTGGATGAACACAGCAGGCCAAGCAGCATCATAGGAGCAGAAAGGCTGACGTTTCGGGCCTAGACCCTTGAAACCAGCCAAAAGTTCCCCATGGACCCATAATCTCTCTCCCGGGTACAACAACATACAGACTGGCTAAAGAATTACAACAGAAAATAACACACCTAGTAAACTGCTCAAACCACTCTATCCACTTGGCCCAAGAATTCCTCAGTAATGTCACAGACACCAGAATCAGTGAGGACAAAGTTATGATCTCCTTTGATGTGACATCATTGTTTACTTCCATCGACATCCCCTTAGCTAAGGGGGCACTACCCTCATAACTAGCCGAAACAGTAATGCTCAATCCCCTACAACACCAACACCATCAGGAAGCACAACACCTTCAAACTACTAGATTTATGCCTCACGACCCACTTTGTCTTCAACGGCCAGGTATACAAACAAATCAACAGAATACTCACTGGATCACCCATATCAGAGCTTACAGCTGAAGCAGTAATGCAAAGACTAGAATGGACAGCCCTTCCCACTATCCAGCCAAAACAATGGGCCCGCTATGTGGATGACAAATTTGTCACGATCAAGCGCACAAAACTGGAGGAAATCCACCAACTCATCAACAATATCCTCAATGGCATAAAATTCACCAGGGAAGAGGAGAACAACAACCGACTCCCATTGCACAATGTGATGGTCGAACAAAGGGCCAATGATGAGCTGCAGACCAGCAAATACAGGAAAGCTACCCATATGGACCAAATACTTAACTCCTGCAGGACTGAGCAAAAATCCTACCATTTTTAAAATACTGGATTTTAAAACTGCCCTATCATTTAAAACCACTGGACCAAAACTTGGAGATAAAAATAAAATATTTTAAAGGGGCAGCTGAACTGGGGTCTGGGAAGAACACACAGAGAAAGAGAGAGCTGCCTGGAACTATTGTTAAATCAAGAATGGAATTCACACCTCAGCTGTGAGAGAACAATCCACCAGATTGAACAATCCAACCTGTAAACAAAATCTCAGAGTACTCGGAACCTACACCAATACCGGACATTCTAACTTCAATTAATATTCAGTCACACAAAACACTGCGCATTCCACACGTTCAGGAAACCCATTCACCTCTGATGGAAAGACGTTAACACCCATTCTGGGAATCAAGACAACCAATTCAACTCCATAGCAACTATTGCAATAATCAGAAAACCTATTCATCACCAACAGCAAAGACATTTGCACTTACTCGATTCATCAAAAGGCCAATTCATCTCTCGTAATGTACAGCCTTGGCGTTCGTGGATGATGTTGCACTGGTAAATAGATCTCACTTAGGAATGGCTAAGAACCTTAAAATTATTCACCATTTGTGACAATGTAGGTCTCACAATCAACATCAAGATGACCAGGGGCTTCCATTTTGTGTGCAAGGGTAAGACATTCTTGTATAATTGTTTAAAAGGAATGGAGGCTCGGCGGGTGCGTGGTTCAGTCCCGAGCAAGACTGAGAAATACCTGGGTGCTCAAAAGGGTCCGTGGGCGGGTGTTAAATTGGCCGACTGGGAGAGTAAGTTGAAAGAGTGGGCAGAGAATTTGAAAAGATCGGCTGTCCACACAATGCAGAAGATTGAGATTTTTAAGAACTATTTTGTATCCAGGTTGCATTACCATTTGGTTTTAGCAGAGGCATCCTAGAATATTTTACGTAGTTTGGATTCTTTTATTCGAGGTTTTATTAAGGAAATTTTACATTTACTCAAACATGCATCAGATGGGATCTTACATGCCCGGAATAGAGACGGGAAGGTGGAGGGTGTTGGGGATTTCCCGGCTGGAACTGCAAGTGCTGTTTCAAGAAAGCGTGCGGTGCTGGAATAATCTGAGGATAAAATCATCCAGGCGTTATTCCAGTTTAGTAAGGAGAGTAATGAGGGCATAATAGCGGAGCTGACGGAATTAAAAGGTGATGCAAAAGATTTGGTCCCCTGGAGATGTTCGTGTTCGGCTTGATGAGGAGACAGATATTGAAGAGAGAAGGGATTTGGTGAGCATGTTAAACTCAAATTATAAAGATTGGACGGGGACAGAGTGGCAGAAATGGATGTCCTTACAGTGCCAAGGATTAGGCGTGAAGTATTTTAAGAATAAGATATCGAATGCGTGGGTCAAAACAGCAACCACTATGAAGACAACGAAATTGATTAACACTTTAATCAGAGATAGTAGGAACTGCAGATGCTGGAGAATCCGAGACAACAAGGTGCAGGGCTGGATGAACACAGCAGGCCAAGCAGCATCATAGGAGCAGAGAGGCTGACGTTTCGGGCCTAGACCCTTCATCAGAAAAGCTTCTGCCCACTT